TCGGAAGAGAATAAAAGAGATCATTCCATTATTAATTTGGCACTTTTCTAGAAGCTTAATGTAGATCATTGTTTCCCTGACTTTAATGGGAGCCCTCACAGCAGGGAAATGATGTGCTCACTGTGCGCACAAGATAAGGTCAGATTCCTATTCTTCATGGCAACCGAGATTGCTCAGAGATCAGCAGAGGCCAGGACTTCACTTAGGCCAGCGCCCCGGGGCAGCCACACACCAGCTCCACTGACCAGAGAGGCTGAGGATACCCCACGCCTCAGATAGGCACCCAGAGGGAGCTGCAGTGGTTTACAGCACCATTTGGCTCAATAAAAAGAGGGAGGCAGGCAGGGCCAACGGAGCGAGGAAAGCCAGGAGGCACTACGCCAGCTCTGACCCCTCGCTCAGAGGGGTAAGTCGTCCCTCCAAGCTCCATGGCTGCTTGCAGCTCTCCTAACAGCCAACAAACCACAAGAGCCAGAGGCCATTGCATTTTAAATTGCAGTGGTTTACAGCACCATTTGGCTCAATAAAAAGAGGGAGGCAGGCAGGGCCAACGGAGCGAGGAAAGCCAGGAGGCACTACGCCAGCTCTGACCCCTCGCTCAGAGGGGTAAGTCGTCCCTCCAAGCTCCATGGCTGCTTGCAGCTCTCCTAACAGCCAACAAACCACAAGAGCCAGAGGCCATTGCATTTTAAATAAACAAAGCTGCCTTTTCTCAGCACCGAAGGTTAGTGCCAGCCTGACACCAGCTCTGCTGCAGAAGGGGCAGCACTTCATCCTCATCGTTAAACCATCATGACACGCCAGACTCAACAGCCTGACCTCTGCCTCCCCCGTCAGCTGTTCAGGCCAGTCCCAGCACAGACAAGACTACGCAACAATCCGTCCTTCTAATGAAGGCGGTTGCGATGTAAACTACAGCCAGGTCCTACAGTGTCACCTTCCAGCGAGGTCACACTGCTCCCAGAAACAGCAACTCCCAGGGGGCTGAAATCCCCGACACTGCTGCGGGGCGAGAGAGAGATAATGGGGTTGACCAGCAGCAAAACAGGACAAAACAGTGTGGGGGTCCAACATTCCCCTACAACTTAGCAGCCAAACGTCCCTATTGCATGACCTTACTAAAGAGAGAATGAGATCACCTGGAGCCCACAGCAATCAATAAATAGGTAAAATTTATTTTCCTAATGTCCCAAACTTTGCGCTGTAGAAAAGCTAGGCTGACATTTATGGAGAAACTTAAAATGTGGCAGCAGAGCAATCTGTAAAGCTATGGGGAAAGCCTCGTGCAGTGTCACACGTCTCTGTAGAGGCAAGCAGAACGCTCCATACTTAATCCCGAGCCTAAGCTTTCATTTAAATACTTTATTGCCACAAACTTTAAGTTGCAATCAACGCTGCTGTGAACATTTACAAAGACACTGCTGAAACGTGATCGGGTTTAGATGCCGACAGTTCGGCGGCAAAGGCAGCCCGGGCGGCGAGCTCCGGCCTCATGGAAGGGGGAGAAGGATAAGGGCAGAGTCACCGGCAGCTGCAGGGAGGCTGAGGGGGGAGGCTGGGGGGTTGAAGCGCCGCCCGACCAGGGAGCCTGTGCCCAGGGGCTGCAGCCCACAGAGGCC